GAACTGTTTTGTGTTCCATGTGTGACCGAGTACTTGTGTCTTGTTTCTTAGTAATTGGTCAATACATCAAGAAAGTAAATTAGATTAATATCTCTCTTGTGTAAAACACGGGCACCATCATGGCATTTCGGAACACATTCACGGTTGATTGGCTATTTGTTTAGACTTAGGATTATACAATTATACATCTAACTTGCCAAACCATGACATTTTTCTATACCAGCTATATAACTTTTGTTGAAGACGAAAATGCAAAGCAAATGTATAATGTTTACCTTCACATATGGTCTGCTATGTTAATTCTTACTCAAACACAATTTCATCTATATGGTGGCAGGAGTCTAAATCCCTCCTGCTATAAAATTGCAACATGATGTAACCCAACACTAGTTACCACGGTGACTGACGTCTGGTTTAGGCCATTGACGTTATTTGCTTGGAGAATTAGAGTAAGAAGAAACAGAGCAAAAGAAGATGTTTTCCTTCGGTAGACCTAACAAGGTGCCATATGTTTTACAGGTAACAGTGCAGGCCACGTGCATCACCCTTGCGGTACTGAGTATTGACCGGTACTGTGCCATCGTTCACCCGCTTCGCTCCATCGACTTCCGCACACCGAAGGTTGCTGCCATTGTCAGCGCCTGTACATGGATAGGTACACTTCTTATATTTATTCTAAATTCATTCATGAAGTTTTACCACATTTGTTGAAGGATTGACATAACATGTGGCTATCACTTCTTCAAGATGTCAGACCTGAGACCGGACATGGATAGGAATAGATAGTACTACACTTCTTAAATTTATCTATCTGTGAAGCTTTGCCACGTTTGTTGAAGGATTGACACAGCAAGTAACTATCACCTCTTCAAGATGTCAAACCCGAGACCAGTCTGTAAGGTTTGAACCACTCACACCGAGAAGAACTTCTGTGAGGGACAAAAACATTCACAACGTAAAAAAAGCAATACATGTGTATTTCAATTGCAAAATGTACGACGGCAACGTGAAAAGCAGTAAAGATATTTGTCAAAAAAGAAAGAACACAAGCGCGGATTCGAACCCGGGTCAAAGAACTTAACCCTAACCTCTACGCCACGAAACATCACGATTGTGACGTAGCGTTCTAACACAGTTGATGTTTGCTAATGAGCTACGAATAGTCGTGTACCATCGCTGAACACTACTGGAAGACGCCGAGACTGGCTCATGCAAAAAAGGAAAAAGCAAATCTAGTAGCTATGTATAGAAATGTGTTATATTTTAATGTTTTAAAACATTATACTGTTAACGCAGTTTATATGAACTGTATAGAAGGCATAATTCAGCCTTTGACTGCAACGCCTTTGACTGCAACGTCCTTTTTTCACCAATAAACCAGTTTTGATTGATTGATTGCTGTTCTGCGATATGGCATCGACCGTTTCAAACGACAGTTTACGAGACGGAAATTACACTCTTGCCCCCCATAAATCAAGACAGGCGCAGCATGGTAATGTCTTTTAGCCTTCTTCGATACCAGACGATGTAAGGAATTTGCATTAGCTCTTGTCTAGAACTTGATGATGTTAACCATGGAAAGCTCAACAATAAATCACATCATTACAGTGTTCTGACAAGGTGATCTACGCTATAATGAACATTTATGCCATTTACACCTGCGCCCTTTCTAACTCTTCATCAAATTGCCAATGACCCATATGACAACCTTTTTTATTTCCTGCTACAATTTTTTAAACCTTTTTTACCACTCACATGGGTAACAATAAGGGACTGTAGGGACTTGAAAAGTTTAAGGTTGTACCAATTTGGAAAGCATTCACAGGGATGCTTAAAGCTTGTTCCACAGTGGTGTAGCTTGTTCCACAGTGATGTAGAAAAGAAGATTTCAGCGTGGAACTTTCTCATGAAAGATGGAGTATGGAGGAGGAGAGGGTTTTTTCCCTAGAAAAGGCAATACGCGTCCTGGCTGAGAATGTTCGAAGTTTGTTTTAAAGACATCCAGTAATTTTTTGGGCTTGGACTAGGTCACTCCGTGATCAAGATGTACAGTAGACATCGACAATTTGTAGTACGTGTTTCTACTTTTCAAACAAGTCACTAGTCTACTAACTATGTGTCCTCGTTTTTTTTCCACCAGGTTCTTTCCTACTCGCCTTGCCTCTGGGTTTGAATATTCAGCTCGAAGAGGTCGAGAACTTCGGTCCACAGTTGATCTGCCGGGAGCACTGGCCCACCAAGTCTGCTCACAGGAGCTACATGCTGTACACCTTCCTCATCACCTACGTCATCCCGCTGGTCTTCTGCACCTTCAGCTGTTCCTTCATCGTCCGGAAGCTGCTGACCAGATTCAGCATCAGTCACGCTCAGAAGACCGACGCGCAGGCCAGGCAGACCCGGCGGACGTCCTGCATGGTGATCGGGGTGGTGGTCCTCTTCGCCTTCTGCTGGCTACCGAACCACATCATTAACCTCTGGTTCGTGTTCAATCCCGAGCCACCTAAGGTAATAACAGACGTACTAGCGTGGACCAAGACAATCGCACTCATTCTCTGCTACTCAAACTCCATGCTGAACCCTTTCGTGTACACACTGCTCGGTGAAAACTATCGCCGCTGCCTGCGGCAGTCGTTCCCTTGGCTGTTCAAAAAACGTGTCCTGCGTAGAAGCGCTCTCGCCACAGGCCGTAGCTCTAGCTCCTCCCGGCCGGGTAAGACCACAGAAATCACGCTAAGATCCTCCGCCGCTAGACCTGTTATCGTTACCTTTAACAACAAACGCCCGCCTTCTAGAGCGATGACGTTTGGCTCAATCGAGGAAGAACATCGGACCTAGTGTCTTAAAGAGAAAGCTTGTACTATCCCAAAAATTGAAACAATCAGATTTCAGTCTGCTACTGAAAGCTCCAATGTTCACATATCAGTGAAGACCTGACTTAGACAGTTTCAACTTAGACAATAACAACAAACGCCCGCCTTCTAGAGCGATGACGTTTGGCTCAATCGAGGAAGAACATCGGACCTAGTGTCTTAAAGAGAAAGCTTGTACTATCCCAAAAATTGAAACCATCAGATTCCAGTCTGCTACTGAAAGCTCTAAAGTCTAATGTTCACATATCAGTGAAGGCCTGACTTAGACAGTTTACCAAGTTCACGACGGTACTGTTCGAAGTTCAAGATACTTCTGAAATACAGAGACAGACAAGTAACTGAAGTACATAAACCAAGCAGCTTCATCTAACCAAGAATGTTAAGTAATGAAAAAACACTAAATATACCTCCGAGGCATTGGTTGGCAGTTACATGCACAGCTCTAAATCCCAAGCCTATATACCAATCTCTACGTAAACCATGTTTAGAGACTAAACTTTACGTCAACACCAAAATAACAAGCCATATTTATTGACAACAACTGTCAAAACTATAATTCAGCAGCGAGGAGGACATTTTCAAATGCAAAATGCTGCAAATACGTTGTGTAGAGAGCACAAGGTTAGGAATAATGTAATGAATTGTAAATTTATAAATAGTATATGACAAAAACTGACACAAAGTAATCAGGACGACTCGGACGGTATTGGGCCAAGTCGATCAGGGAGATGGGCCAATTTATCTGGGCCGAGTTGGTAATGGTCCGAGTCGTCCGACATTCCTCACAAAATAGGTGGTTCCGCCATTCACCGAAGATAAAACAGAATTAATTTATCACTAGAAATGGAAACTAGTCTAAATCGAATTTGATCTGATTTAATTCTTTCAAAACCATCAATTACATGTGACCCCACGACTATCACAAAGCGACAGCATTAAGGATAAGTAGAGAACTTCCTGAGTTAATTGGGAAACTGAATCTTCACTCCTGTATGAAGGACTGATGATTGCGAGCTATCTATCTAGGTCTCTCCCACGATGTCTTCAAAGGAAGCTTGCCCGTGGTGTGCCACGTGAATATCTGATGAAAGCTCTGCAAGGGACGTACATGAAAGTCCTCAGAACTTCAAAGGTTTGTTAGATCGTCGTGTGTGAGGAGATTTGTAATGATGGTTTATCTATTTTGTTTAGATGGTTTATTTTAGTGTTCTAGGCGACCTGATTTTTTTTCTCAATTTTTTGGTCATAACGCTCATGAAAGTCCTGGCCACTTCGAAGGTTTGTTAGATCGTCGTGTGTGAGGAGATTTGTAAAGTTTACATGATTTATTCTTGTGTTTTAGGCGACCTAATTTTTTTCCCTTCATCTCAATTTTTTGGTCATAACGCAGATGGAAGTCCTGGCCACTTCGAAGGTTTGTTAGATCGTCGTGTGTGAGGAGATTTGTAAAGTTTAGATGGTTTATTTTAGTGTTCTAGGCGACCTGATTTTTTTCCCTTCATCTCAATTTTTTGGTCATAACGCTCATGGCCACTTCGAAGGTTTGTCAGATCGTCGTGTGTGAGGAGATTTGTAAAGTTTAGATGGTTTATTTTAGTGTTCTAGGCGACCTGGTTTTTTTCCTTCATCTCATTTTTTGGTCATAACGCAGATGGACGTCCAGGCCACTTTGAAGATTAGACTTTCAAATTGTTAGATCGTCGTGTGTGAGGAGATTTGTAAAGTTTAGGTGGCCTATTTCAGTGTTCTGGCCAAACTGATGTTTTTCCTTCATCTAAATTTGGTTTGTCACAAATTCTCATGTCGAGCGCCGAATGCACAACAATCATAGCGGGAATCAGGTCATTCCCCCCTGAGAATTCTGAAATCATATTTTGAGGACAAATGTTGCTGGTAGACGTACTTTGGTGTAATGACATTTCTTTTCATATCTTTACACGCCGATTTTTGTCCAACAAAGATGACACTGTGCAAAATATTTCTCCATCATGAGAGGCAAATTTCTGTCAAACGACGAAAAGTGGTGTATTTGCTGTCCATTTTAGCTTTACATGTACCAGCTAATGTGGATACGGATTTTTTATTATTGAAGAAGAACAAAATACCAGAAGCAATCAAGGTAATGAAACTCACGTAATCGCCGCCTTCAAACACAAGAAGATTAAACAAAGATATGATAGTACATAAAAATAGCACATAAACAAATGAAAATTGGGGTCAAATCAAACATATCTAAAAGCGTAAGTAATTTGAATCTTATAAATTAAGTGGGTCAAAAACGTTGACCTTTAGTAATGTGATTCTTTATTGACTCAATAGAAAGTACAGGGACTTTCGTATGGTCTTCTACAACTAAAGATCTAACAAAGCAAACTATTAACTATTGGTTACTTCCTAAAGGCTACAGGACAGAAAACAATGGAAAATACATGGAAATAGAATTTCTATTGATCCTTTTCGATCGACTCAACACACAGATAGGATTATCTATTTAGTGGACAGTCTCCTGTGGCCTAAATGTGGATTACCTTAGAAACACGTTGTTCCAGTTTGACGAATCGATCTATATACTAAGACCATGTCGATTTGATTATATGGAGGACATCCACGTGCGTATTTTTCTACCAAATCGTACAAAGCAGCTGCAAAATGAGCAAATACATGACGTATTTACAAAAACGAAATATTGTAAAACGATACTAATTTCATAGAAAGCCAAAATTAATTCTAAAGGAGAATAAGAAAATGTGAAAAAATGAAAACGAAGAGTCTATTATTCGCCATATCATACTATGTGCGTTTAGTCATTTGTTCAACCTTGATGACCACGTAAATTTCATAATGAAGGCAGCTTTTTTGCCAAACCTTTTTTATTCGCCCTCTCGCATCAGTTTTGGGGTCTCCCAGAGGATGTGATCCATGTAATCAAGCCAACCCGGCCTTACATGTACCTTTTCGGTACTGCTGATTGAAGTGTCAAAACTCACCAAAGGTCATCCGTCAAGAGAATAGATACCTTCTAGTCTGACCTGTACTTAATCGTTATCGTAATGCGTTTCATGATCTTTTCTGACATTTCGTCCTTCCCATGAGGATTAACTGGTCCATCTTCTATATTGACCTGTTTAGGAGAATTGCTGATTTCGATAAAAACATGTGCAACACATACGTTAGTTCATGTCTGCTCTGGATCTTAAAGTCATCAAGTGTGATTACAGGGCAGCAAAACTGGAAATATTCTGAATAAGGCAATCTTTGTGATATTGACACATACTGCTTCACATTAGCACATTTGAGTCAGCATTTCAGACTTTTGGCAATTAAAACTACATAAAAAAGCCCCAAGATGAGTCTTTTATTTTCTGGGTTGTACCCTAAAAATCAGCCCAGCGCCCTTCCAGTAACCATTCTCCGTCAGAATTTTGGGAATTTTTGCTCCATGACGGTCAATATACATTGGGATAGTGTGGTTTCAACTCAGTATGTAGATAAATTATTAGAATATTGTTCTTGAAATCGGGTTTCCAAGCCCTAAAAACTGCATTGGATACCTTTAACTGTGGCATCTATATCGTCACTTTGACGCATGGATATTGGGGATATCCGTTTGGTCCTTTAGTTTGACATTTTGTTGGCATTTGGTTTAATGGGGTTGACGTCTGGTCAGATTGTACACTTTACCTTTGCCATATCAGGACCAACTTTTCTATCTAGACACTGTCTTTGTCCACGCTGTATCAATTAGAAAAACCAGATATTATATATGATATATATGTTCTAAACTTCATATTTTACAAGTGATCGACACAAAGGCCCAAAGATCAGGTTATGTTGATTTGATTATACCGATGACATTCTCTGGGAACACAAAAACTGATACGAGCGTGTGAATAAAAAAAGTTTGGCAAAAAGTTGCCTTCAATATGAAATCTACGTGGTCATGAAGGTTGAAGAAATGACTAAGCACACAGAGCATGACAATTACAAACTCTTAAGTTTCATTTCTTGGAATTGGTTTTGGCATTCTACAAAATTAGAATTTTTTTCCAACATTTCATTTTTAAGCTAGGGCGTATATTTGCTCATTTTGAGCAAAACGATTTACAGTATGGTCGAAAACGTTTTTTTCTGGAACGGGCGAAAATTTATGCTCGCATGGATGTCATCCATATAGTCAACTCAACATGGCCTACGCCCCATCTGTGTCTGTATCAGCAGGTTAAGAACTGGACTCCTGGTTTTTGTTGAAAGAATTGCAGAGCTTAACCGATGTCCGTTATGTAAAGGTGGTGTTCACGGTTCGATGTAATTGCCAGGTTTAGAGGGATTGACAGACAACCTATATTCAACCTGTACATTCTGTATATAACGCCCGTCCTTGTAGTTATTGTCGGTGACCTGAAAACGTCTATACTATGTTTCGGCTCTACCTTTCCACACACAGTAATCTCTACAGAATGTCATCACGTCCACCCGTTAATTACATGTAAGCCTCTCTGTACGTGGCCTGGTATACAAACCTATTACAGCTATCGAGTCTTTGGTCCTGTTCACACGGAAACGCTGTAACTGATTTCGATCCAGATTCGATCGAAGCCGGATTCAAGTGGCCCCATCTGAACGCTTTAAATCGCGTTGAATGCGCTTGCTTCATCAAACAACAATGAATGTAGTTTAGGCGAATCGTACTCGGGCACGGTTTAAAAGGAACGCGTGGTACGTGGACCAGATGTGAGGAGTGTGATTTGCCGGAATCGCGGTTCAGGCGTCTCCATGTGAACAAGGCCTTTTTATTCTTCGCAAAAGGAATATAATAGGTTTGGATACCAGGCTACTCTGTATGAGCGAGTGACCTAGTTAAGTCATTTATGATGTACACACATTTATTACTACTTCAGTTCCTATCAGTTGTGCCAATGTGTAATTGAAAAAAAAACACTAATCATAGAGACCATCGTGGCATGT